GACTATTTTAGTCTTAGCATGTAATATTATTTGAGTTTTAATATAAGATTACTTTATTTGTAATTAGACTTAGTATATAATTATTTACTAGCTAGGGTTGTATAATATACGTCACCTAGACTTAGCTTATATCACGATTTGTAATTAGACTTAGCACGTAAGTTTGTGTAGGGTTCTAATGTACGACATTTACACTTAGCATACATGACTTAGATTGTTAAAACATAAATGTCTCGTGACTTAGCAGATGTTTCTTGTATCAACAGATGGCTGACCGCGATGAGGAACAGATATTGTACGATACAATCGCGGAGGGAAGCAGCCAGTACTGGAATGAAGAAGAGGGGAACGAGGATCCAAACCAGTACTTGAACGAGGAAGGGAACGTGGAGAGGGATGCGGAGGGGAACCAGCAGGGGCACGTGGAAAGGGATGTGGAGGGGAACCAGGAGGAGGAGGCTAGTGGTAGTCAACCCTCCGTTGGACAGAAGAGGGCACGCGGGCAACGAGGTGCAGCGAAGAAGCTTGAGGGTCGGCACATCATAACGGAAGTGGAAGAAGATGGACGTCCTAGTGCCCCGGCCGAAGCCGCCAAGAACTATGTACGTCACAGCGGTTGGGTTGTGCGGGATAACGTGCCTGTCAGTACGGTGTACTGGCGAAGAACAAGGGCACGAGGAGATCATGAGAGCTTTGTCCCAGATTCGGAGAAAGAGATGCTGTGGACCACAATGCTCGAGACATTCACCCTTCCTGCGGGTACAGAGGACAAAGTGAAAAGGTGGACTCTGAAGAAAATGGCAGAACAGTTTCAGAGCTTCAAGGGAGATCTGTACAAGAAGTATATACTGAAGGGGCAGACACCGAACTTCGACACATTCCCAAAGCTAAGGGATCACTGGGACGAGTTCGTTGCATATAAGACAGGTGAACAAGGGCAGGCGATGATGGAAAGAAACAAAGAAAATGCCGCCAAGAAGAAGTACCATCACCACTTGGGGTCAGGAGGCTATAGCGTCGCGATGCCGAAGTGGGAGGAGATGGAGGCTAGCTTGATTGAGAGGGGTATCGAACCGGCAACAGCCAATTGGCCGGAACGATCGAAGTTCTGGTACTATGCTCACGGTGGAACGCTCAACCCAGCTGATGGCTCACTGGTATTCGGCGTTCAGATACGAGAGGCTGCGCAACGACTAACAGATGCAGTGGAAGCCTCCTCTCAGGGCACGTTCCGACCCGACAGAGATAGGGACGAGCTGACACTCGCCCTGCAGACTCCAGAGCATCCAGGACGAACACGAGGGAAAGGGGTGATTCCTTGGAAGATTGGTTTCAAGGAGGACATCCACACGTACAGGAGTCGGATGAGGAGCAAGAGAGATACCGAGGCGAAGATTGCAGACCTAGAGTTCCGGGTATCGAGCTACGAACTCAACATGCAAGAGGAGGTGGCAAGGAAGGTTGATGAACGCATGGCCGCACATCGGTCCCATGATCCCCAGCCGACCATTCCTCCTGCAATGGTGAGCCCGTCAGGAAACCGTAGCAGCTGCGCCTCAACGGGGCAGGTAGGATCGCAGAGCATGGACGCCATGCAAACACAGGACGAATCGACCTGTCCCGTTGATGACATCACTCAGCGGACACCATGTGAGCTGCATATTCCTTTCAAGAACTTATCAATAAAGGTAAGATTTAGCCATTCCGCTAGTTCCTGCTTATATATGTTGATTACTAATAAATAATCTCTCACAACATGAAGGTGGCGTCGGGCATGGCCATCCCAACGGACCCTTCAGGTACTTACCACTGCAGGCCGATTCCAGCAGGATACTCGAAGGTCGAAGTTGAGTTGGTCGAAGGCGCGTACGAGGACCTCGAGCTGGATTACACTGGAGGAGACGGTGAGACGCATCTACGAGACACAAGCCATGCCATTATTCTATGGCGCAGGCGGTACATCATCCTCCCTGGGCGACAAGCGGCGTCTCGTGCACCATCTCCTCCGGCTCCGCCATCTCCTCCTCATGATCCTGCACCGTCTCCTCCTCATGCTCCGCCAGCACCGTCTCCACCTCAGGCTCCAGCATCGACTCCTCCTCAGGATCCTGCACCGACTCCTCCTCGTGCTCCTACACCTACTCCCCCGCAAGCTCCTCTTCCGGCACCTTCAAAGTCAAGGGCCCCCCCAGCTGCACCGCCTGCCCACACAAGGGCAACGAAGAAGGCGAAAGTTGACGCCGCCAAGAACAAGGACCCGGGGTACGATTGCACGCAAGAGGAGCTTGACGCTTACGTTGCATCAGAAGTCAAGAGACAATTCAAGCCTCGAAGTCCAGAAAAGAAGATTCCTATAGACCCCAGTGTCAGGAACTTCTTCAGGGGTATGTCTGCATCTGTCAAGGAGGCCATCAAGCTATCGGACTATGAGCGAACGCTGAAGAAAGCATCTTCTGGAAAGTCCAAACCAGTCCCTCAGCTTGGAGAGCAACCAAAACAGGAGATCGAGCCGTTGGTTACCGGTAAAGAAATGACGATAGAACAATTTATTACTGACACCGGTCTAACTACGGATCAATTGCTAGGAGTCGCACCAATCGAAAAGGCGGAAGTGAAATACATGTACGAACTCGGTAAACCGCTTGTCAAGCCTGAGCTGCTGCAGTCCCTACCCACACAAATGTACAAGTTCCATCAGCTGTACATGGAGATGAGCGCCGCCGGTAGAGAGATGATCGGAGCGAGGATCAGGGACACGGACTTCTTGCAAGGAGATGACATTCTCTGGATCAATTTCAAGGGAATCTACGAACTATACCAGCTGGACGCCCTCGACGTCTCTATTATGAGTTGCTGGATTTTGTAAGTATATCGTTCGGTTAGATTTCTTACTATACGTCTCCTTTAATAAATTAGGTCCTTGTATATAAGTAGACTATAGAAAATAATATACTCCCTTTTATCGTTGTAGAATGGAGATTCAAAGGGCCCGACGGCGGAGGGTTTTCGATACTGGATTCATCGACCCTCGGAGAGTAAACGTCGCAATGCTCGACCAATATCCACAAGAAACAGAGGACAATCTCGTCCATCTCCTGAAGGCGCAGCATTACAAGACGTTCATACTGTTGCCATACAACACAGAGTTAGTTTAATTTTACTGTCTTCCTACATACCAAATTTCATTCCCGTACGAACTTGCTAAGTGTTTCATATGTAATGCATCCCACGCACATTGCAGATTCCACTGGGTGCTTTTACTCTTCGACCTGGAGGCCTGCACCGTCAACGTATATGACTCAATGGATAAAAAAGAGTCTACGTTTGACAAGGTTTTCGAACTTATAGACAGGTACCGTCATAAGTTCCTTTGTTAATTAAGAAAATCTTGTTATGTTAATTGCTACTACGAATCATAGCTTTAAACTCCATGTAGGGCTTGGTATCGGTTCTGTCATTTGGTCCGCGGCAAATGGAGAGAAAGACTTAGGCGGAAGTTCAAATTTCCTGTGAGTACACATGCTCTATATTTATATTTCTCCGATTCAAATACATACAAGTGTATATTAATTAGATCTCTCGTTGTTTGTCATTTATTTGTAGTGCGCAAAGCAAAAGCAGGGAAATAACTTGTGCGGCTATTACGTGTGCGAGTATTGCCACTGCCTTGCAAACCAAATCATCACCACAAGAGAGCTCGATGTACGTACAAATAAATTCAAAATTTCATTACGTAGCGATTTCTTGTTTAATTACTAATCAATTTCATACATTCATATAGTTTATTCACATGAGGGATAACCTGACCACACACAAGGAATTTATCACGGCGGTTCAAGAACAACTCATGGGATTCATCAACGAAGAAATCCTTAATCCCAAGGGTGAATTCTACTACGACGGAAACACAATTCACCGGTCCTTAGCTTCTGAGCTAGCAGCGAGTACTACTACGTCGAAATGATAGCTAGCTAGCTAGGACATATAATGGATTGTAATTAATACATGACTACATATGTTTCTATATGCATGTGTACACATTTTCTATAATGTAAATATATTTTGGTCATATATATATATCTATATACATATGCATTAATTTGCATAACATATATATGTGTATAAATACATATATATTATGCATGTATATACATATAATATAATATAATATATATATATATATACATATATATATATGTATGCATATATATGTATTGAAACATATATATGCATGGGTTATATATATATATATATATATAAACTATATATATATATAAACCATGCAGCAACAGGGCCATGCAAAAAAAAAAAAGGTCAGCTCGATCTTTAGTCCCGGTTGGTGGTTGAGCCATCTTTAGTCCCGGTTGGTGTTACCAACCGGGACTAAAGACCGATCTTTACTCCCGGTTATTTCACCCGGGACTAAAGATAGCGATCTTTAGTCCCGGATTGGTACTCCCGGTTTGGAAACCGGGACTAAAGGGGGGTTACGAACCGGGACTACAAAGGGTTTCTCCACCAGTGGTCTTATGTCCATTCCTATTGGGTGCCTGGTCAGATATGTTTTTGTTTAAATACATAATACAGGCAAAGTAAGTGTAACTTAACTGGTTATATTTTTTGTGGTGAAACCAATTTACCCAGATTTAAATATTATATTTGATATAGGTACTCGTATTTATGGCTATCTATTCATTCAGTAGTTGGTGACAAGGCCACCAACATGTATAGACGGCCAAATGGACTGCCGGGCCTTGCATGGCCCAGGCATGACTAGGTCCGAGCCGAGGTCAGTTTGGCCAGCCCAGCCCGACCTACATGCCAGGCCGAGCCCGCCCACGGGTTGCACAAACAGCCCAAGCACAACCCAATAAGACTCAGGCCGTGCTGGGCCGGCCCGAAGGCAAGATAGCCCATCGTGCTCCTCCATAGAATAAGTCTAATTTTCATCCATCATCTCTTTGGGCTGTCTTATATGGCTAGAATAAGTCCATATTGCATCTCTTTTCTTTGGGTTCTACCTTATATTACTGGAATAAATCTGTTTTGTATCCCTCAAGTATTTTTTTTTTGACTGTGCCGTGCTGAGCCGGCCCACAGTGCCAAGGCATCAGCGAGGTACGGGCCAACTATAGAGCCAGGCCAGCACAAGCCCGACATCAATCGTGCTGCGCCGTGCTTGCGCTGGGCCAAATGGCCGTGTCGTGGGCTGGGCCGTTGGGTCTCGGCCTTATAGCTAGCTATATCGATAGCAAGATATTCTTGTTGACTTTATCAATTTTAAGATATACCGCCCCAATTTTTTGGAGATGCTCATAGAGTTAAGCATAGATATGCACTTTCATGGGTGAGTATGTGCGCATTGTAAATATCTATGTTTGTTCCGTGTTTCAAAAAAAAATACAGAAAATCAACATAGCATAACGGCATAACGTTTACTACGATGAAAATAGAAATCACACAGATAGAAACATTCGCAGAAATTAAACAAGAAGATCTACTATGAGAAGTAGATCAAAAGAGAAAAATAAATAAGGTTTTGGAAGCATACATGCATATAAGGAAATTAATAAAAGCCTGAAATCACGAAAGATTACAAGATGCCACCTAATAAACCTCGTGCAAGAGACAAAAGTGTCTTAGATGCCACTAATTATTTCTTGACGTACGATAGAATAAAACAGACAAAAGCTTGATAGATTGTGGATTTGTGGTAGGCGGCCGTCCTGAAGATGGCTTCCTCCACGAAATGCATGTTGAAGAAGTAATTTTGCGTCTACGCCGTGTCATGGTGTAGATCGACAACATGTTTGAATTGCCAAAGAAATTAAGGGCGGTGAAGGAAAAAGCAGGCTGAATTAAGGAAGCAGTCATCAAATTGATTGGAGTAGCGAGTAGCGACTGTCGTGTTGATGTTGGTACCTTGAGTTTTGGTAGCATCCATCAAATTGAGATGGCTGCAGTAGGCTTGTCGATCTCCATCTCCATGGTGACCTCCCAGGTGGGATTCTTGGAGTGATTTGATACGATTTGCTTGATGTTTTCTTCTGTAGCCTTAAATTCTGAATCATCTTTACCGCAGCAGACGGTGGCGTGGAATTGCCGGAGCGAAGAGAGGTTGCTGATGCCGGTAAGCTTGGGCTTCTTCGCCTGCTTGAAGTGGAGATCAAGCTTCAGAAGCTGGGCCATGGCTCCGTCTCCGAAGTCGAACCCCAGGCCGCCGTCCTGGCACTTGAACCAGAACACCTGGAGGCACTGGAATCCCACGTTGGTGATGACCACCGTCTGATCCGCCTCCAGCGGAGACGATCTTGTGCTCAACTTGAGGTAGAAGAGGGAAGGCATGGTGCAGAGCACGCCGACGTCGCTCTTCCTTAGCTCGGCTATGGAGATCTCGAGGTGGGAGAGGGATTCGTGAGGGGCCATCTTGGGCGGCGCCTTGGGGAAGTAGTAGTGCTCGCTCCTCATGGTGAATTTCTGCAGGCGACGCGGCAGTGCCCACTTCTCCACGAGCTGATCCAGCGCCGCGCGCGTCTTGCCCTCGCCGACGACGTCCAGGAGGAGCGACTCGACGCCGCATTTCTCGATCCGCTCGAGGGAGGCGGCGAGCTTGGCGTCGTCGGGAGCAGCGGCGGCCACGGCGTGCTGGTGCTGGTCGCCCGTGGCGTCGAAAAACAAACTCACGCCAAGCTTCCTCAGCTTGGTCAGGCCCACCACCAGATTAGTCATGCGGTCCAGCGAGGCCGCATCGGTGACGCTCACCATAGACAGCTCCTGCAGGTGCAGCAAGCTGTGCATCCCCTCCCCGACGGCGAGGCGACGGGCGAGCAGGCACGCCAGCTTGCTACACCGCCGGGCGATCGCCTCTGGAAGCTCCTTGACGGCGGTCTCCCTCACATCCAGGGCTTCCAAGTTCTGGAGCTCCTTCCACTTCTCTGGGAGCTTTGTGACGAACTTGCCGCCGAGCCCAAGGTACTTGAGGAAGAAGAGCCTCTCGAGACCTTGTACATCTTCATCTTTCAGCCCCTTGGCGTCTTTGAAGTCGAGCACTCGCAGCAGCTGCAAGTAGACGATGCTCGATTTCATGGGCTCGGCGAGGACGCCGAACACCGTCAGCGAACGGACCTGAGACAGGCCTCCGGTGCTCTCGTCGTCGTCGATGCAGTTGAGGGAGGCCCGCCGGACGATGTCACGTGGCTTGCAACGCAGCACCATGTCCGAGGTGACGAAGTTCTCCTCGGCAGCGACAGACGCGATGAACTCGAGGACCACGTCGTGCACCTTCACCTTCACGACGTCCCCCGCCTCCACCGGCTGGATCAGCTGTCGGTTGACGAGCTCGTTGAAGTAGCTCTCGGCCGTCTCCCATAACGTGACCTGCTCCTGCTTTAGGACTGGGATGAACCTTTCGGCTATCCACCTCCATATCAGCCGGTTCTTCTCCACCGTTTCATCCTCCGGCCGGAAGATGCTCAGATACAGCAAGCAAGTTCTCACGGGTAAAGAGAGATCAGAGTAACAGATGCGTAGTATCCTCCTCATCCCTTGCAACGTCGGGTGTTTCTCCAGTGCTTTCTTGATGCTTTTATTGTCCTCAGGGCAGCCTGGCGATTTCCTGTTCAGCATACCGGCAATGACGATCATCGCTAGTGGCATGCCGCCGCATATGTTCCAAACATCATGGAAAACCCCTTCTTCCAGGTCAGTCTCAGAAGAGTAAATTTTCTTAGGAGACTGCAGTCTGCCGAGAAACAGTTGCTTGGAGTCAGTCTTGCTAAGATGCTTCATCGGATAGGTGAAATCCGTGGGGCGGACGGAACACGATTTCGCTACATCGCTGATACGTGTCGTGGCCACTATTCTACTTCCAGGAGTATTCTCGGGTAGAGCGTATTTGATGTCCTTCCAAGCAGATATACTCCATATATCGTCAATGGTGATAAAGTACCTGAGATATATATATATATATATATATATATATATATATACACATAATTTTTTTTCTCTTGTCAGTATAAGTAGTTCATGTGCTCACTTTACCGTTATGAAACACGTCTACACTGTATATATGGAAACCAATTTTGCTTCTAGGCATTCTTCTTATTGGTGAGGCTTAAAAAGTCGATCTAACAATATATAGTCACTTTCTATTTTATTTATGCATAATATTGAAATGGTACGAGATGAAATAATATACAGTCACTTTCTTTTTATAATTTCGCATATATGTTTGAATGACACGCAAAGGTTCGTAAATAAAACTTAGAAGAATATACATTTTACGAGTGAAGTAGACAACATACGTCTTAAATTCTAATTGTGATTTAATCATAAATAACACAATAGTGCAAATAGATAAAAAAAATTGAACGTATGATTTAAAAATTAGTTGTGACGATTTAAAATATATTTTTACAAATAATACATAATTTAGAAGTTGTGGTTATTTAAATTTTATTACTGTTGTAAATATTTCCATAAAGAGAATAAGGGAGAAAAGGTAATCAAGAGGAGGTACGTGTGTGCCTGAAGGAATCATTTCGCACGAGCGGTTATTACTATTGATATTATAAATATTAAAGTTTTAAACATTTGTTAAATACATAACTATGTTAAAAGTTTAATAACCAAACAATTTATTTTATTTGTACTTCTAAAAATCAAAATTAATAATTAATTAATATAATATGTCCTAATATTTCTTCCGTTACTTTCTATTGCATTTAAATAATTTTTCAAATCAAAATTAATGAGTACTATCTCTTTGGGCTCATGTTAGTATGTTATATAACTTAATTAATAAATTTGGAAATAAGAATTGTCGAGTTGTACTCGGTCTCTCCTTTCATGATACAAAAATTCCTAAATTGGAATTAATAAATATTGATTTGTACTTGTTTTGTAGTCTAGATTATAAGTTTCATGATATATTAATTCCTAAATTGTAATTAATAATTATTGAGTTGTACTCAGTTCAAAATCTCAATTATAGTTTTTCATATGGTCTAATAGTTCTAAAATGCGCAATTAATGAATATAGAGTTGTCCTCGGTTTAGTTTCTCAATTATAGAATTTTCATGATTAAATGATTTTGAAATTGATAATTATTGAGTTGCATTTGGTTAGAAGTTGGCCCTTTTTAATTATGGTAGAGTCATTATATATCATATGAATCTATTCGAGAGGTCAGCTCAAATCATGATGTTGGAGAAAAATAATACTAGTATTTATCATAGTGGGAGAGGTTGAAGGAAGACTCCCGTAATTCTTAGATTGCTATATACATCAGCACGTAGATGGAGTTTTTTTATAGTTTTTAGAAAAATAAAAGAAAATAAATATAATCTAACGACTTATATTAGAATACTGGCCCAGCATATTTTAGTGAAAATCAAGAGTTACATATTTTGCTTTTTTTTGTCATAATTTCTAATATTTGTTTGTGCCACTTGGCAGTATAGGAGCGTATGTAGAGTGGCATGTAGTGGTTTAGGATCGTTCATAGGAAACTTAATAGACTTTTAGTATATAATAGATTTGAGAATGTATTCTAATTTCTTGAAGACATGTCTCCTCGTATATTTTTTTTTCTAAATTCAATGCAAATAGTTATAATTTCTTGGAAAAGAATTGACAACATAGAGTAGAGTCACATCTAGCGCTTCACCAAAAGTCAAGTTTAAATTTGACCTATATATCAAGAAAAAAAAGGACAAATTCTGGTATAAATAATAACACTATTGTGCATAGCATACTATCTTTTTTAGATCTTAATGCTGTATGATTGTGGTCAAATTTTTTGAGAAAATTTCATAACTTTTTGGATGAGTTTTTGACAAACGAGGGGACATCATATGAGGGATAAAAAAGTTTCCTGTAAATTTTGGATAAAACAGTTCAGACTTTAACGGTAAATAATTAATTTTCTATTGAGTAGAGGCATTCTTTATGTCTGTAAATCATACGAGTGCCTAAAAGATGCCTCTATAGGATACATTTAGCAAATAATTTTAAAATATTCTAAAGATGGTGCCGCTTGGAAAAATTATTCTAAGCGATATTAAAATGCCTATAAAAAGTGTCTAGAGTATGGAACTCTAAAAGAGTGCCTCGGCTTAAGTTTTTTTTTTTTTTCGGTAGTGACTTATATATCCATATCAATGAGGGTAAACAATGAAGTAGTTTTCTTAAAAGAAATGCAATAGCAGAACTTTTTTTTTGTTTTATAAAGGAAGAAAATGTCGTATTTATGAGTTGTTGCATATTATTCTAATTTTGAAAAAAAAAAGAAATGATTGGTAGATAAGAAAATTAATCAGTCAATTAACAAATATTAAAAATACAAAAGAAAGTTGGAAGTGCATTATAAGAACTCAAGCATGTATAAATTTGTTTCTTACATGCCCTCAAAACAGTGTTTGAATTAATTTTTTTAAAAAAAGTATGACATCAGGTATTGTAATGTCATCTTTGACTCCACGAAAGGTAACTATAAATTCCATCTATGCATGGAGAAAATTATAGATTGCACTGCACTTATCCTTTTGTGTAGAGTGATAGACAAGTCACTATTTTAAGTGTGGCAGGGAAAAAAATGTATTCATGTGCACTTGTGTACGTTTTGGAATACTTTCCCATGGTTGGAGATGTTCAGAAAGGCTCTACTGAAAAGAACACATATATGTCATCAATATGGGTTCATTCAAAACAGACGAAGACGGAAACAGTATGTACCTCTTTTTGTCGAGGAACTCCCTGATCTTGCCGACTACTGTGGGTTCATCCATCTGTTGCTCAGTGTCATCCCCTTGCGGCTGCAGGGGGTTGAGCTGGCGGAGCATGTTGAGCAGAACCGTCGGAATATGCGGGTTCTGGCCGACAGTGACGAATGCACAAGAGACAAATTCGCCGTGGATCTTTCGGTACACCTCCTTGGCGAGCGTGGTCTTGCCAAGGCCACCGCCTCCGACGATGGACACCACCTTGAAGTGCTGCTGCTCGCCGCCGCCAGGCCTCAGTTCGCGGACGAGCTCCTCCATAGGCTCATCCAGTCCAACCAGCCTACGGCTAACACCGTACAGAAGCTGAGGGTCGACGGTGACGTTGCTGGGGCGGAGGTCGTCGGTGACGTCGTCCACGACAGGGGCGCTCTGGAGCATGTACCTGGTCCGCCTTTGGCTGGCATCCTCGACGCGGTCCTTGAGCTCCTTTATCAGCTCAGCGAGCTTCCTCCGCCGGTTGTTCCGGCTGAAGATGCGTGACCCCTTCGTCTCCGCAGCCACCAGAGGGTGGCTGTCGATCCAGTCATCGGTGTCGTAGCCCACTTCCCGCACCTGCCTCATCCACTCCTTCACCTGCAGGTCAGTGTCGTCCTGCGTGGCGAACTTGAGCATTACAGCTTCCATGGATGCGAGCTCGGCCCTGAGGGACTTCAAGTCGTTCTTCAGGTCCTTGAACCTCGGCTGTTCCATGCTCTCGATGAGCTTGGACAGCAAAGGGACCATGACACCCATCGACGCGCTCACAGGTCCTTCCATAATCTCAGACAAAGTGCTACTCTCAACTCAAATGGCACCAAGCTACGCTAGCTGATAATAAAACTACTGGCCGTGTCTTGGCCGACGAAAGAAGGTCGAGAATGGCCGGAAGCTCAGGAGGAAGATGCGTGATGCACCTCTTTTAAAATACAACGACTAGATGCGTTGTTGCCAGCTGCGCCAATTAAGTCCAGCGGCAGACACTTAGGCTGTGTTTAGATCCAGGATGAAAAGTTTTGGTATGTCACATCAGATATACGGACACATATTTAAAGTATTAAACGTAGACTAATGACAAAACAAATTATAGATTCTACCTGTAAACTGCAAGACAAATTCATTAAGCCTAATTAATCTGTCATTAGCAAATGTTTACTGTAGCACGACATTGTCAAATCATGGAGCAAGTTTTATTTTTAGTCTATATTTAATACTCCATACATGTATCTAAACATTCGATGTGACAGGATAAAAAGTTTCTGCATTGGAACTAAACAGGGCCTTAACAATCTACAATCTTTGTCATCCCATACGTACACAGGGGGTCGATGTATAGCATTTGCACCGACGATCCATCCATATATGTTACTCCCTCGGTATCTAAATATTTAATATTTAAAGCCGTTGATTTTTTTAAATATGTTTAACTGTTTATCTTATTTAAAAACTTTTGTGAAACATGTAAAACTATATATATACATAAAAGTATATATTTAACAATGAATCAAATGATAGGAAAAGAATTAATAATTACTTAAATTTTTTCAATAAGACAAATGATCAAATATGTTTAAAAAAATCAATGGCGTCAAATATTTAGAGACATAGGGGTATATCTGTTCATCTCCATACGAAATTTGAGCGATTTGAAATAAAAAAAGATCCCGGCCATCATCACCGTTGATTACGCAGATGTTGTCATATATATAGTGACTATAAACTTAATCGTACTCAACTAAAATGGTGGCCAATGTATTTGTGCGGCTAGATTTAATATTGTATAATAGATTCAGCTTAGACTTTTTTTCTTAGATAATGAGATTCAGCTTAGACTTAAATATGTTATAATCTATCTATCTATCTATCTATCTAACTATCTATTATCTATCTATTATATTATTAAAGGAATACAAAAAGGAGCCTCCACGTTCGCTCTCATGGTCTAGAAATTCCCACATTAATCGGAGAAAAGAAAAATCAGAGTTCATATAGAAATACAATTTAGAAATAGCCTCCACGTTCGCTCTCATGGTCTAGAAATTCCCACATTAATCGGAGAAAAGTAAAATCAGAGTTCATATAGAAATACAATTTAAAAATAGCTGAAATTCGGAATTAAAAAATAAGAAATATTAGAAGAGGAGACTAGAGTCCATATAGAAATACAATTTAGAAATAGCTGAAATTCGGAATTAGAAAATAAGGAATATTAGAAGAGGAGACTAGAGTCAATATAGAAATACAATTAGGAAATAATAGAAATTCGGAATTAAAAATAAGGAATATTAGAAGTAGAGTACAGAGTCCATATAGGAATTTAAAACTAACTAAAATTTGGAATAAACGTAGAGTTTAGAGTTCGTATAAAATACAATTGATAAATAACTAAAATTCGAAATTAAGAAAAACATGGGAAGGAGAGTTTAAAGTCAATATAGAAATACAATTTAGAAGTAACTGAAATATGAAATTAAAAATTGAGTTTAGAGTCCACATAGAAATACAATTAGAAATAAAAAAATCAGAATTAAAAAAAATATATTAAAAGATGAGTCTAGAGTCCATATAGGAATATATATAATTTACAAATAACTAAAATTTGATTTTAAAAATAATTAATAACTAACACGTATATAAAATATAATATGAATATTAATTAGTAGTTTCGTAAAGTTATTGCAAAATTTAAAATTTTGTTGTCATTTTAATATATTTGAATAATATAATGAGAAAATATATATGCTATTATATGAGAGAAAATATAATGATGCTAGCCGCGCAATCTGCGCGGATATTATATTATTAAAGGAATAGAAAAAGGTGCCTCCACGTTCGCTCTCATGGCTTAGAAATTCTCACATTAATCAGAGAAAAAGAAAAAATATAGTCCATATAGAAATACAATTTAGAAATAGCTGAAATTCGAAATTAAAAAATAAGGAATATTAGAAGAGGAGACTAGAGTCCATATAGAAATACAATTTAGAAATAGTTCAAATTCGGAATTAAAAAATAAGGAATATTAGAAGAGGACACTAGAGTCCATATAGAAATACAATTAGAAAATAACTGAAATTCGGAATTAAAAATATGGAATATTAGAAGTAGAGTATAGAGTCCATATAGAAATACAATTAAGAAAAAAAATTAGAAATTCGGAATTAAAAAATAAGGAATATTAGAAGTAGATTATAGAGTCCATATAGGAATTTAAAACTAACTAAAATTCAGAATAAACATAACAAAATTAAAAGTAGAGTTTTGAATCCGTATAAAAATACAATTTTTAAATAACTAAAATTCGAAATTAAGAAAAACATGGGAAGAAGAGTTTAAAGTAAATATAGGAATACAATTTAGAAGTAACTGAAATTCGAAATTAAAAATTAAAGAATATTGAGAGATGAGTTTAGAGTCCACGTAGAAATACAATTAGAAATAATAAAAATTCAGAAATAAAAATAAATAATATTGAAAGAAGAGCCTAGAGTCTATATAGAAATATAATTTATAGAAAATTCGGAATTAAAAAAATATTAAAAGACGAGTCTAGAGTCTATATAGGAATATATATATAATTTACAAATAACTAAAATTTGATATTAAAAATAATTAATAACTAACACGTATATAAAATACAATATGAATATTACACATTTGTATTTTCGTAAAGTTATTGCAAAATTTAAAATTTTGATGTCATTCTAAAAAAATTGAATAATATAATGAGAAAACATATATACTATTATATCAGAGAAAATATAATGATGCTTACCGCGCAATCTGCGCGGGCCACTATGCTAGTTATATTATTAAGACGGCTTTAAAAGAAGGCTTCACGTTCGCTGTGGGGGCTAGAAATTATCACATTAGTCGGAGAAAAAAGAAAAATCTAGATCATTAATTATACTGGGACTAGACTTTGATGGTGTAGATTAACTTTGATAAATAGAAGTCCGAATAGAAAACAACTACTAGATCAAACGGACAACACTGATCAAGTATTAGAATACAAGTCCAAATAGGTGGACGTACTCCTGCTTTGATTCTCTCCTTATCCTAGATGGATACTAAGGATCAATCAACAGCTCAGGTGATTAAGATTCAAACATGCGTGCATCTAGATTTTGGAGCCGGTATAATTAGAATTAAAATGTGATTTTTTACCTATGGATGAAAAAAAAAGTAAATAGACTAGAAAACTTATGCATTGGTAGAGATACATCTCTCTCCGTCCAACTCGCTAAGGCGTGTTCAAATTTAGTACGGTTTTCAAAAGCACTTTAACTTTAAATTTCTCATTGTAGCAACAAAATCATAATCATATAAAATTAAATTTAAATGAATATCCAATGATATTATTTTTAACAACTAAAATTTAATTTATAATAAATTATTTACTGGTCAAATATCTAAAGAGTTGAATTTTAAATTGCGTGCGTGCCATAGTGAGTGGGACAGAGGGAATACATACTATACAAAAAGTAAATCTATGCATGTGGTTGTAAAATAAAATCCCAATGATGATTAGGCTCAATTTTTAGAATCCCAATGATAATTAAAATGAGAGGCAGGATGTAAAGGAACAATGTTGGGATGATTGATGGGACTTCTAAAAATTATAAAAGGAATCACAACGATAAGGTTTGATTTTAAATCGCTATGAGAATTAAGAGAGTCAGTGGGTGGGCCGTATTGAAGTACCATGGCGATATTAGACAGAACTCCTAAAACTATAAAAAGGGAATCCGAGGAGACAATGAACTCTAAAATCTAAAATCTATAGGGTTTGTTTTCAAAGGTTCCAAGGATAATGATTAAAGTCATGGTAGGCAAATAATGGATGGCAAATGAGTAAGGGATGATGATTGAAGTGACTTTTGATAAGGGACGATGGTATTTGACGAGACTTCTAAAAATTAAAAAAACAAAACCCGACGCGACAAGAAATTTTAGAAACTAACAAGTCCAATTTTTATAGATTTTAAGGAGGATGAATAGAATCCATGTAGATTGGGCAAGCAAATAAAGGGGTGACAAATAAGTAAGGGCAGCAACATGTGTGACTTGTAAAAGCTATAAAATTATTAGAAACACAGGGATGATAAGGTCTGGTCCTTGATAGCCTAAGACAACAAGATGACTATTTAACAAATTTTCAGTAAAATCATGTGTAAATATAAATATATATATATATATATATATATATATATATATATATATATTTTATGGGTGCTAGCCACGCAATTGCGCGGGCCACCCACCTAGTCTATTATATTATTAAAGGAATAGAAAAAGGAGCCTTCACGTTCGCTCCCATGGCCTAGAAATTCTCACATTAATCGGAGAAAAAGAAAAAGCAGAGTCCATATAAAAATACAATTTAGAAATAGCTGAAATTCGGAATTAAAAAATAAGGAATATTAGAAGAGGAGACTAGAGCCCATTAGAATAGAAGACTAGAGCCCATATAGAAATACAATTTAGAAATAGTTGAAATTCGGAATTAAAAAATAAGGAATATTAGAAGAGGAGACTAGAGTCCATATAGAAATACAATTATGAAATAACTGAAATTGGGAATTAAAAATAAGGAATATTAGAAGTAGAGTATAGAGTCCATATAGAAATACAATTAGGAAATAATAGAAATTGGGAATTAAAAATAAGGAATATTAGAAGTAGACTATAGAGTCGATATAGAAATACAATTAACAAAACAATAGAAATTCGGAATTAAAAAATAAGGAATATTAGAAGTAGAGTATAGGGTCCATATAGGAATTTAAAACTAACTAAAATTTGGAATAAACATAATAAAATTAAAAGTAGAGTTTAGAGTCCGTATAAAAATACAATTTATAAATAACTAAAATTCGAAATTAAGAAAAACATGGGAAG